TGCAAACACCACACACGGTTTTTTTTAAAAAAGGAAGACTGAGACAGGAGGACCCTGAGTCTGAGAATAGCCCAGGCTACATGGTGAGTTCGAAGTCAACTAAGTTATATAGTGAGATCCTATGTTGATAGATAGATAGATAGATAGATAGATAGATAGATAGATAGATAGATGGATGATAGACAGATAGATAGATGGGGGAGAGCGGAGTAGGTATACAGTTCAGTGATAAAACGTTTGTCCATCATGCTTAAGGCCTTGGGTTCATTCCTCAGCATCACACACACACACACACACACACACACACATACACAAGCTAAATCTCCCCACCTGCTCCATGTCCCCAGTCACATCGCTGAGGAAGCAATTTCAGCAGCCTGTGGGTGTCCTTTCAAAGCCTCATCTTCTCTACCGCATGCCACAGGGTTGGATTGTCTGTTGATCGTGTGTTATCTTGGTGTATTTATGACTCTGCCATTTGCTTTTATTACTTTATAAGATGAGCAGTCCTTCAGAAAGGGTTTCTTTTTCTAATTTATTTATGCGTGTGTAAGTTTTATAAAAAAATGAACTAATTTCATCTGTAGTGGGGTATTTCCTTCCATACTTTTCTCCATCCTTGCCAGACATAGCAAGTAGAAATACGTTATGCCCAATCAAATTTGAATTTCAAAGGAATAAAATTTTAATTTAAGCATGTTCTGAGAAATTGTAAGAACTCAACCATCATGGTCCATTTTCAGTATGAAAAATGCATTTCAGAATGAAAACGCATTTAGAGCTCACTACGGAGTTGCAAGCAAGCAGGAGGCCCCGTGCCTTCTCTGGCCAGCAGCTGACACCCATGTTCCTGGGTGCTCCTTATTTATGTGTTTAAGTTACCTGCTACCTGACTGAGCCCCCATAGTAGACAGAAGCAGGATCTCCATCACCACCCCTGGGGTTGGGGAGCTACGCTGGAAAATCTAACTGAAGAATCAACCTGTGGGAAAGGTGGGCAGGAATTTTGCACACCTGGGAACTATAAAAACCACTGCTCTGCACCAAAGAGCCGTTTTCACCTTTTCTCTCAAGACTTTGTAGAGCCCTAAAACTGCTCCAACTGCTTCTGTTTCAGTACTTTCCTGTCCTGTCCCCCACCCCCATAAGATGACTCTTATGGAGGGAGCATCATTGTCTCTCTCACAGCAATCCTTTGAGTCTCTGCAACTGAAAGTTAATGTGTATGTTACTCGAAAGCCCTGTGCAAACATGAGCATTTGGGAGTGTTGCTATACACTTTCTTCTATACCTCAGTTCAAGGACTTAGTGCTAACCAAGAAAACAATGTGGCTCACTGATTTCAGTGGTTACACAGAAACCCTACCTGTACCTCTTCCTGTTCACCCATGATACCCGCTCCTTCATTAACCACTACCCCAAGTCTTTTCGATGCAGTCTCTTCCCAGTCTCAGTCATGCAAGCTTCAGAACAAGGGACAGGAACACCCAGAGACCAGCAGCATTTGAGGGACTAAGATGTAGCTAGCTGGTAGCGTGCAGGTTTTGATAGCTCCAGCGGGTGGGGAGAAACAACAGAAAAGCCAGTCCATACTCAGCAACTTGTCTCCCACTTGAAACTTTTTAACATCTATTTTCATTTCTTTAGGAGAAGTGCCTGAGGTTAGCTCATCGAAAGAAAAACCATTGAGGAGGAGCAGCTAGCTCTGGAGGAAATAGGCCCTATGACTCAGAAGATTTCCAGTTTCCCCTGGCTTCCCTGCTTCCTTGCGCCATGGTCGCAACTTTGTTTTCTTTACCAATCTCTGTAATTGATTTTTTTTCCTTTAATGTTTGACAGTTTCATATGTTTACAAAGGTCTTGTAAGCATACTTATCCCATGGCCTTCCCTCATCCCCACCCCACTCCTGTGAACCCTCTTCTTCCCAGCAGCTCCCTTCCTACTGCGTGTGTGCTTGTTTGCATGTGTGCATGCACATGCTAGCACACACATGCATATGCAGGTCTTACGCAGGTCACCACAGCTGACGTGTGCCCATGTTTGCAACAGCCATGGCCATGCTAGATCCAGAAGAACACATTTTATAGCGTTCTATCCAGCCCCTAATCCCCAGGCTCTCATAAGCTTTCTGCCCCATCTTCCGCAATGTCCCCTGGGCCTTGGAGGGGTGGTGGCGGCGTCTCATTCTACTTCAGGGCAGGGTAGGCAATGTCACTCTCAACACTTTGGGTGGCCTTTATTTAGGAAAAGAGACAAGCTTTAATGGTTGGGCTTCAGAAAATTTCTGGTGCATGATCACTCATATTTGGCTCCAAAATAAACTATTTCTTCGTCTCCTTTGAAGTGAGCGGTGTGCCTTTCACTTTGGAGGGGGAGGGCGGACAAAGTGAAGGGGGGTGGTAGGGTGGGGAGGGAGGTGTGCAGGTGAAGCCTTTAGCAGTAAAATAAGGGATAAGTGACAGCTTCACTGGGGACAGACAGAATAGTCAACTTGCAGCCCGGAGCTGCAGCAAAAAGGTTACTCACCAAGCAAGGTGGGTGGGGTTAGGTGTGCGCCACCTTGGGGAAGATGGGAAAGGGAACTAAGCTGAGGCTTTGTTAGGTTCAAATCAGATCTGCTTGCTGACTCAATTTGAAGCCCACCTTTTGGGGGTGAGGGGTTACCTCATCTGAGGATAGGAGAGTGGAGGCCCACGGCTAACGTGGGGATAGGAGGAATCCTCATCTGAGGACGGGAATGGAAGCCCAAAGCTTCCGGAGGGAAACTGGGGAGAACGACCCTGAGCAACAAGTTGGGACAGACCTCTTTGCTGATGCTAGCAGAGATAAGAGCAGGGCACCTGGCAAGCCCCACAAGATGCGCCTCCCTCCAGTTTCCTGCCTTCGCCTAGCGCTTTCCAGATGGGTCTGAGTTGCGCCCTCCCCGCCCTCTTCCCTCGCCAGCAGTGGCTCTGGCAACTCCGAGTTTGGGACCCAGAGATCGGCAGGCTCTAGCAGAGCCAATGGGTGGCGGCGCGTCACAAAGGCGGCCGTGGGTTTGGCCGCAGCGAGCGCAGGGTGCCGCCCGGGTTGCTCTCGGAGTCGGCGTGGGAGCAGCAGCGCGGGCGGAGGGGCAGGCGCGCTCGGCGTCCCTGCAGCCCGAGCGGGGCGCAGCGAGCCGGTAACGGGCGGCGCGAGGCACCCACGCACCCGGCGGGCAGCTGTGGCCCCACGCAGCCGCGAGGCCCGCGTGGGAGGGGCGCCGGGTGATGGGACAGCCTTAGTTTACCTCGCTGGTTGGCAGCTATGTCATATTATGGTGGACCAAGCCCAGGTTTGGGAATTCTAGCGTAGGTTCGAATCCCACATCCATACACTTAGAATACCCTCTCACTAGGAACATTTATTAACCTCCCAAAGCCCTCTGATTCTCTATGTGCAAAATGCGCGTGTTCCCTGTCTTCATTGAGAAAATACAGAAGTACCTTGACCCCAACTTACAGAGATTCTGGCACTTTCTACCTCCTAGGTGTATTCCCTGCATCAGTTCATTTAAATTTCCCAAAACTGGGAGAAAGGAATGACTATTAATGACTATTAACAGACTAGACACTGAGGCACAAAGAAATTTACTAAGATCACAGTAGCAATTGATAGGCCACTAGGTCCCATTATGTCCTGCCAGTGGGAGTATCATTTATTATTTGGGGAATCCTTGCAAAGAAAAAAAAAAAGTCTAACTCAGGAACAGAAAACGGCTCAGTGAGTAAAGCACTGGCATACAGGTGCAGGGACATGAGTTCAAATCCATTTCCAAGACCCATATAAACTTGTAGTTCTAATCCAGGCTATCTAAAAATTGTAAACAGAAGAAAGCCCACAAAAAGACCCTCTTTTAAACACAGTGGAAGGTGAAAACTCTGTACCAGAGGCTGTCCTCTGACCTCCACACAAACACAGCACGTGTACACACACACACACACACACACACACACACACACACACCTGTAGCTCTGTAGCCCACCAACAGTCTTCTAGCCTGTAACTTTACCTGGATGTGATTTATCAACTCCCCCTCCACACCCAGCATACACACACACACACACACACACACACACACACCCCGTCTGGGAAGTGCCCAGTTTATGCAGTGCTGGGGATCAAGCCCTGAATTTTGAGTGAGCTGGTCAAGCACTCTAAGACCAAGCAACACCCCAGCTTTGGGTTTGGTTTTTTGTTTTTATCTTTCCATATTACCTTTTGACCACAGTTTGTTCACAAGCAAAGTTTTGGGTCACTGTTGTTGTTGTTAAATAGAATTTACAAGTTCAATTGTTACCCAGTATGCGTTGCATGTGTTCACACTTCTGTGGCTTCACACACACACTGCTTCCTCTGCCTGTAACACAACCAGCTTCTCCTCTGCTGCAAAGCCAGCCTAATCTGCCTTGCAAATTCCATCCATCCTTCAAAGCTTGACTCCAGCGTCACTTCCTTGGAGCAGCCCTTACAGGAAAACTAGTCACTTAATTTGTGCTCTCCCCACCCCTGGCTGCTCTTGCTGGGCTAACACTCACTGGCTCTTTCATTTTAATGGAATCAGGGTCTTGCTACATAGCCCAGGGTGACCGGGACTCACTGTGTATCCCAGGCTAGCCTTGAGTTTTTGTTCCTTCTGCCTTAGCCTCCTGAGTTCTGGGATTACAGGAGAATGCCACCACAGGCAGCTTCTCGCTGTGCTGAAGTTGGGTGCTGGCCTGTGACCCTGGATGAACTATATGCAGTCTCCACAGGTGTGGGGCTTGTCCTGGATTCACCAATGAACCACGTACATCTGGCACAGTGCCTGATCCAGAACAGTCCAAGTGCAGAGAAAGTTTGTTCACGCGAGTTTGAGCTCTGCTTGGCAGGTAACAGTCTTGCTTTTTTACCCCTCACAGTGAACACGTGACTGCATTTCCTTCCCCGCTTTGGGAAGCCCTGCTCACCACACGACTACCCTGTACATCTGGGTTCTTAGATGGACGAAGAAGGTGAAGAAATCCAGCCCCAAGAGCAGAGCTGCTGGGCCACTCTGCCAGATGTGTGCCTGCGACGTATCTTCTGGTGGCTGGGAGACAGGGACAGGTCCAGAGCTGCCCTGGTCTGCAGAAAGTGGAACCAGATAATGTACTCAGCTGACCTCTGGCGATACAGGACCATCACATTCAGCGGGAGGCCATCTAGGGTACACGCATCCGAGTTTGAGTCAGCGCTCTGGTATGTTAAGAAATTCGGCCGCTACCTGGAACACTTGGAAATCAAGTTCCTGAACCCTTACAATGCCGTCTTGACCAAGAAGTTCCAGGTCACCATGCGAGGCCTCCTGTCATGCCTCGGCAAGAGTAACAACCGTCTGAAGTCACTCTCTATCCAGCACCTGGAGCTGGACCGAATGGTCTGGAGAAACAGCATCAGAGGCTCGCTCATCAAGAGCCTGAGTTTTTTCTTAAAGAAAATGGGCAAACACCTGGACCATCTTAGCTTGAAAGGAGCCCGGCTAACAGTGGAGCAAGGCTGCCACATCCTCAACTCCCTGAGCTACCTTCGGAATGAGAACTTGGCCTCGGAGCTCAACATCGAGGACTTCTTCAGCCATCACCTGGCCGTCTATGGCAGCTCCCAGTTCAACAAGGCCATGGCCACATTCCACAACCTGACTTTCCTAACCCTCAACTACAACTGTATCTCCGATGAGCTGCTCGAGACCCTGAGTGAGAACAACGCTGGCACCCTCCGGACCATGAACATCAAATGCCACGTTCACGACCCCCATGGCCAGGTCGTCTGGGGCATGTCCTGGGCCAAACTGGCCAGGAAGGCCAGCAACCTGAAGGTGAACTTCTTCTTTGAGCGAGTCATGAAGTATGAGCGCCTGGTCCGGATCTTGCTGCAGGAGATTCCAGTCAGGAGCATCAGCCTAAGAAGCTGCTATTTCAGTGACCCAGACTGGTCCATGCGGCCCACTCTGACAGATCTCCTGCCTACCTTCCGGAACACACTGCAGGTAATTGGGGCTTGTGAGGAGCTACTGTTCACAGGAAAGCCGCTACCTGTTCTTGGCTAGGCTTCTTTTTTTCTTCTTTTTCTTTTTTTAATTAGGATTTTTTTATAATTTATTTTTAATTTTAAGCACATTGGTATGACAGTGTTAGATTCTTGATCCAAACTGAGTTACAGACAGTTGTGAGCTGTCATGTGGGTGCTGGGAGTGTTTGAACCTGGGACCTCTGGAAGAGCAGCCAGTGCTCTTAACCGTTGAGCCATCTCTCCAGCCTCTAATTAGGATTTTTTAATATAATCTTTTTTCATTTTACATAGCTATCCCTGTTCCTACTACATGCTCACTTGGTTCTTTATCAAAGTTCTACATGTTCCCAAGCACACTCTCAGGCCTCCCACGCATCTCCTTGCAAGACCGCTATTCACTGCCTACACGCAGGACTTGGGGAACTTCCTGGCTGGCTGTCCACCAAAAAGAGCTCTTTTCCCCTATTGTTGAGCTGTGAAGCCCGAGCCAGGAGGTGTCTTGCTGGCGACAGGCAGCCTCTTCCCACTGGCTCACAGCAGTAGACAGGTGGCCCCTTGGTTCCTGGGGTCGGCAATAAGCGGGGATGAAAATAACCAAACTTGACAGGTCACTGGAGACCTCTGGGCAGTGCCGGCACCTCTGGCCCCTTCTCCCCACCGTCTCCCTCCCATGCTTGTCTAGAAGCTAACATTCGAGTTCAACAACAACCACGAGTCGCTAGACGAGCATCTGCACCTCCTCATCCTGGCCTGCCGAAAACTGTTTTACTTCAAAATCTGGGCTTTCCTGGACGTTACGTTTGTGGAGCGGATCCTCAAGAGCCAGGAGGAGAGGCAGTGCTCCCTGCGCACACTAAAGGTAAGGACCCTCAGCTGCTCGCATGGGTTGAAGCGGGGACACCTAGACTTGGCACATCTGCTCTGATGAAGGGTGGAAATTGGGACAGGAAACACATACGAGACAGACACTGTCCCCTGCATCTGTCCATGGGAGATGACCAGCCCCACAGGCAGGATCTGGAAGTCTCTTACACTCTGTCTCCCAGGGGTTCTACATCCATGAAGCCTGCCAACTTTGTTTTTACTGAAGATGTACATTTTTATATTATTCCCTAAGCATAACATCCACAGTATAGTAAGAATTATAAGCAACTCAGAGATAATTTGCATGCATTGTTTTATTTTCCATAAGGGACTTAAGCATCCATGCATGCATCGTGGATTCTAAAGGAGATCCTGGAATCAATCCCTCATGGGTACCAAGGGAAACTGTGCTTGGGGTTTTTCTGATTCAACCATTAATTGTGTGTGTAGATGCATTTGGATGGCTGTCAGATCTTAAGTGATGTAGTCATCGTATGTGTGTGCGTGTGTGTGTGCCTGTGTGTGTATGCGTGTGTGTGTGTGTATGCATGTGTGTATGTGTGTGTCTGGTGTTTCTTTATCGGCACAGGTGAGAATTTATACAAACCGATATGAGACGAATGAAGAGGACAGGACCCTGCGGGAAATTTACAGGAAATACAGAAAGCTGATCGATTCAGAACTTAACTATTTTGTCATCGCCTACCCCATGATGTAGAGAGTGCTTTCCAGAGGAAGACATCTAGACGCACTTTAACCTGAAAATGCAGTTCTCAGGGAATTACATTTGGGACTCCCATGCCCTCATCCCTTTTTCTTCTCTCCTCCTTTGTCAGTTCCACACCCTCATGAACAGCCTGGCAAAGGCTGGACCTGCTGGTGATGGCAAGGCCCCAAGCGTCTTTAAAGTGCTATCTTTACCACCAATACCGGCTGATTGCTTTTTGTCATTTGGTGTCGTTTTTGGTTTGGTTTGATTTGGTTGGTTTTAGACATTTCCACTTAGCCACTGTTTTCTGCTAAGGGAGTCTGACTCCTGCTTTCCGGAGTAGGTGTGGCCAGACAGTGGACCAACCTTCTTCCAGCCGACTTTACCCATTTGGAAATTCTTTGTAGCCAGGCAGTGGTGATGCATGCCTTTAATCTTAACACTTGGGAGGCAGAGGCAGGTGAATTTCTGAGTTCAAGGCCAGCCTGGTCTACACAGTGAGTCCCAGGACAGCCAGCTGGCTACACAGAGAAACCCTGGAAAAACAAAACAACAACAACAAGAAATGCTTTGTATCCTGGCTGACCCTGAGGTTGTCTGGGCCTGACCACACACAAATAGAACCCACCAGTGTGTCCATGGATGATGCAAGCCCATTCCACCTTAAGACAGAACTTCTCAGGGAAGGAAGGAACTCAGATGCTGGGTTATCAGCCCTGTGATAGAATCCTGCCTCGCCTTGACCTGTGTCTCCTTTTAATTGCAAAGACAGACTAGAAGTGGCAGTTACACCCATGTTCATAATGAATCTGCAATGTAGTGTGCCCTGATGCTATGTTAAGTTGGGGGATAAACCCCAATCTCTACATTTAGAATTATATCTATCATATAAAACACATCTAGCCGGGCGGTGGTGGCGCACGCCTTTAATCCCAGCACTTGGGAGGCAGAGGCAGGCGGATCTCTGTGAGTTCGAGACCAGCCTGGTCTACAAGAGCTAGTTCCAGGACAGGCTCCAAAGCCACAGAGAAACCCTGTCTCAAAATAAACAAAACAAAACAAAAAAAAAGAATAAAACACATCTAAAGACATTTTTAAAATCTCTAAGAGTTGTAATAAAGACTGATTGGGAGTAGAATTTTGTTGGGTATTTTTTGTCCGTTTTGTTTCCCTTTATTTTTCAACTTTTCTACAATGATGATGTCATTTTTGGCTTTTGGTTTTTGTTTGTTTGTTTTCGTTTTACAAGACAGGGTTTCTCTGCAGCTTTGGAGCCTATCCTGGAACTAGCTGTTATAGACCAGACTGGCCATGAACTCACAGAGATCCACCTGCCTCTGCCCCCCCCCCCCCAGTGCTGGGATTAAAGGCGTGTGTCATTTTTGGTAGCTAAGAACATGATCTAATATGCCTCTGGTCATTAGTGATCCCCAGTGACCTAAAGACCTCCCACTAAACTCTGCCTCTTCAGGTTTCGAACATGCCCAGAGCCCAGCGATGGCAGAGGCAGATCCCACTGTTGACTGCCTAGGCCAACGGTGGTGTATACTCACAGGTCTCCCTGAGCAAAATGCCTGCTCCCCATTGCACACAGAGGCACTAGGGGACTCAGTTCTGACCAGCACAATCCTCATCATCATCAGGGGAGGAAATGCGCTGGTAGAAGGCATGCACAGGCCGCAGTCAAGTGCACCACAATTTGAAGTGATCCGAAAGCCTACAAAGCAGCCAGCTCACAGAGCTGAGTTGCTGGTTTTGCTTAACTGTGGTGTGTGTGGTGTCTTCTGCACTGGGAAAGCTAAGTCACTGGTAAAGACCTGCTTTGCACTCACCTGGGACTGTGGTTACCCACCCCCTTAACTTAAGGCAGAGTTAAATTTAGGGAGTGTGAGTCATCTTAGGAAACAGACTCCCCAGGATTAGGGCTTTGAATTATCGGTCACTCCCTGGGATTAAGGTATTAGACTATCAGGTCTGATCTGGAAACTTTACACTCAGATTCTAACTCTGACACCTCAGCCACAATGAGCTAATTGCCAACCATGCCACAGCTTTTCCACCCACAGCACCCTTGCTACTAAATTCCACTATGGTTCTAAAGGGCCAGCAGCCTACTTGAGTATGAATCCTATGTTTGGTACCCTCCCAGGCCTCAGTTTTCCCACCTATAAAATGGAGATCACAGATTGCACTGTCACACATAGCAAGTACCCCACGGGTGTTAGTCGCTGCATTACCAACAATCCACGTGTAAGCCTATCCAAAGCCCGACTTGGCTTGGATTTGAGATCATAAAATATTTCCTAGGGACCCAAATAGACCCAGTTTTTGCTGTTCTAAAAACAGCATCAGCCTCTTTTACCCCCTTCAACTTTGCGTATGCTATACCACTATGCCGGATGTCCCTTCCATTTCCACCAAGTTGCATCCATTATTGAGATCACACTCAAGAGTGGCCTCAGCCCTACCCCACCCTCCCAGCCTGCTCCTCTAGTCAGGCAGCCATGGCCTGTGGCAGTTCTTTTTGTGAGAGACATGAAAACTCCCTGGAAGTCAGCGATTGGGAGGAGGAGGTGCAGGAATGGCCAACATGAGGTGATGGGGGGAGGGCGGGGATCTCAGAATGCCTGCAGAAGAGGAGGCCCTCCAGAGGTGGGGCAGTGAGTCTGCTCTTGTCACTTTGTCTTGGTACACTGGCCGCCATGTTTTCTCTCGCGTTTCTGGTTCACATAGCAGAGAACAGCTGCCATCCATGAGAGCAGCCAGACGGAAAGGTGGCTTTCTCTCCCAAGCCCAAATTCCTCAGGAGAGGAACTTCTTGACCCAGTTTTCCATTAGCAGCCACTCCTGGAAGCAAACAGGAGAGGCCTGGGGGCTGCTGGGTCAGCGTGGAGGAGGAGGGAACTCCCCACCGAAGAGGATAAGCAAGATGACACCCTGCTGGCCCTGCAATGTCCCCACACTGTCTGGTCTCAGCAGGGCCATTCCCACATGTCGGTTAAAGGAGCAAATGATAGAAACTTCTAGAAGCTTCAGCTAAGAAAGGGCATCTTACAGAAAGGACTGCTGTCTGCATGAGAGGACCTGGGCATCTGCCTCCTTCTCCAGCATCCTTTAGATACTCCCCATCTCTATGTGTTTCAGGTTCCAAATCCTGATTCCTAGGGCACAGACTGTGATCAGCTGCCAGGGAAAGCAGACTGTCTTACAGATGTCACTGCAGAGACTTTTGTGTACACTGCTTGGTTCTCAGAGAAAAAAACCAGGGGAGCTAGAACGTGACCTCAGGGGCAGCTGTCTGGAAACTCTGTGGGGCCCTGAGTTTTGAAGTCCCCTTCCCCCACCCCATTCTTCTCTAAACCTCTATGTTTATTTAGCTCAAGCTAAGAATATCCTGACTGGTTAGCTTAAGAACAAACATTTATAACCAGAGGCAGACGAATCTCTGAGTTCAAGGTCAGCCTGCTCTAAAGAACAAGTTCCAAGACGGACAGAGCTACACAGAGAAACCAAGTCTCATAGCAACAACAAAATACAGATACATGAAAAGTAGGTGCTAGTTTCAAATAGGTCTTTCTGGATGTGAGGGCAACCTGGCTGCCCTGTCTGTCACTCTGTGGATCGCTGATTTAGCTGATCTGACTGGCTAGACAAGTGTCCCCTTCCTCCCTCCCTGTTCTATGTTCATCCCTCCTGAAGTTGTGCATTCTTCAAAGAGGACGACCTTCCTGGAATAGAGGAGGACCAGTCTTCAGTGGAGGATAGCGGAGTAGCCCCTTTCCCCTGGTAGAACTTCCACACAAGCTCTCAAATAGGTCTTTCAGATTTGAGTCCCCACGGTAAGTGTCTTTCTCTGGTGAGCTGAGATGACAGGCGTGGGCTGCCACACCCAGCTCCTCGCTGCTTTTACAATGTTTCTAATCGACATTAAGTTTCATGCCTTTGTTTTGCCTCATTCACCTCTATGGTTGCTTTCTACCACACAGCTCTGATTTCCCATTTCCAATAGCAGTGCGGTCTTTTAAAGTAAACTGCCTGTAAAATGAGCATGTTTCAAGGCGGGGCACCAGACCTTGTCACGGAATGGCTGACAATCTGAAAGTCGTTTGGTGAGTGCGACAGAGCCAGCGCTACAGAGACACCCTTTCTTGAGAAACTGAAACAACAGCAATAATTAAGAATAAGCATTGATTTCTCCCACTTTGGGCATATGGGAAGTGCAAGGCTAAGGAGCCAGTGGTGTGGCATATGACGAAAGCCCATTTTCCAGCTCGTTACAGGGTGGGGGCGTGGAGGGGAAGGACACTTAAAGTCAGTAATCCCATGCAGGAAATCTCTGCCTTCGTGATGTCAGCTCAACCCTGTTACCTCCCAAAGAGCCCACTTCCTCCCCTGATCCACTCTCTGTGGCTGCTAACTGAACCATTGATCGGTGAAACTTTAATTCTGTTTTTTTCTTTCATGCTGATTATGGACAAGATCATCTTTAGCTCTTTTAATGAAGATTCAAGTTTAAATGACCCCTGATTTAAAAGTAGTTTTATTGTTTGTTTGTTTGTTTGTTTTTTACACGGTGTCTCACTTTACAGTCTAGACTGACCTTAGACTCACTACATACCCCAGGCTAGCTGTGGACTCCTCAATCTCCTGCCTCTACCTCACGAGATGTATCCCACTGCGCCTGGCAAGAATAAGGTTTATTTTCTCTGGCTGAGTGGACAGAGAGGCTGCAACAGGTGGACTTTGTAGCTACAAAGGTTCAGACAACTGTGGACTACTGCCGACACCCCTGTGAAACAGACCAGAACAGCTCTTGACAGAATGTCCTCACTCCACACAAGTGCTAACAAACAGGGAAACAAAGACAAATTTGTTCTTATGAAACTGGTGCTCCTGAGTTTCATATTTATATTTTAATAAATGGTATTTGCCACAACTGAAATGTTGCCCACAATGACAGTGCCTGCCTAACAGTGAGTTGAGTGACCTTTTTTTTATAGGTCTGGCCTGGCTTTTATAGTTGGGGAAACTAAGGCTCAGGAAGCTGTGAAGCTTGCTCTGGGTCCTCCGCAGGTTGACAGATGGGTCCGCTCCAAGTTGTATCTAAATGCAGAGCCTGGTACCAAACAAATTCTGAACCCGGGAGCCTTGCACTCAGGAATGATTTCTCTGTCATGTTGCTGGCTGTGTCGGGCCCCATCCCTGT